ATTAGCAATTTCAATTAGCAAATAGGAAGCTTATTATAATTTAAATGTAACATCTGAATTAATAGGTTTGTTGTAAGTGAGTTAGGGGCATTAAAGGAACACACACACACGAACACAAAGCTAATTTAGGTTTGGATATTTGTCCCGCTCATCATGGATGGCAGGATCGATTAGAGTAAGTGTGTATTTAACTACAATAGCGCTGTTTTCTTTGTTCTTGAGGACAGACGGTGGCTTCGCTTAATCTGATCCAGGAAACCTGGAATGACCTTTTTAGATGTTCACGTTTCTATGATATTCAGTTTCTATCACTTTTTCAGTGCAAGGTTTTGGCTTCCATTTTATTATCCAATAATAGAGTAACATCTTAAAGGGGACCTATATGCCCTTTTTATAAATCTTGATTTTTGGCCTCTACTAGAGCAGGTTTTCCTGCTTGAATGTTGATTATTTTCCTCATATTCTCCATTGTTGCGTCTCCTCTCTTCCCAGTCTGTCAGTAACGCTCTTGTCTCTATGAAGCCCCTCCTTCTGAAAGCACACTGTGCTCTGATTGGTCGGCTGGATCAGTGTGTTGTGATTGGTCAAGCGCTTCGAGTGTGTTTGGGAAATGTCCCGCCCCTTTCCATAACCTCCAGTTTAACACACTACTAACTAACTCAACCAGGCCCCGCCCCTTTATTCATATTAATTATTATAATGAGGAATATTGTGACGTGTTCATTCCCGAAAGAAACTCAAGACTACAATGGAGGCGATATTATGATAATAACTCTCTTTTTCATGCTCAAACAGCAATACACACTAAAGAGAGTTATACATAGATAAAAGCATAATAAAAGTCCTTTAAATCTGCAGGATTTGAGGTATTAATCATGTCCATAGCCTTAATTTTAATACTTTTTTTTTTTTAAGTGTAGGCATTGTAAATTGTAAATAAAACAGAGATTATTGAAGTATGTTTTACAAGAAAATACTTAAGCCTATCAATTTTCATTCAATGTGCTACTTATAAATAATTGTGAAATTTACTATAGTAAAATTTACTCTATAGAGTAAATTTCTATTAAATTTACTCTATAGAGTGAAAATTGAGTGTAATAGTAAAAAAAATAGTAAGAGCAAAAAAATGCATTTAAAAAACATTAAGCAGACATTAACTTTTCATGTTTTTGCGATAGAAAAACAACTTTCTGTGCCGTTAAAAGACTCTTCAATGCTCAGAAAGGCTTAAGTAAAAACATGATTTCCACCCAGAAGAGACGTAAACAGACACGATAACGGGCCGGCTGACAGGTGGTAGTGATTTCACATATCTGTATCTGAAGAGGTTCACTACCAGCCAGGCTCGGAGAGCGTATCACACACGCAACAAGTGGCTGCGCGGCGTAAAATACAAACAGCCATCAGTTTTGTAGCTGTTAGGAGAGGTTTTTTATGATAAATATGATGTGACTCGAGCGCAGTGGAAATACCATCAGGGGTCCAGAAACTGACACACAATAAATGAGTTTTTCGAGGGAACGATGGATCTTCTGCAGCTTAAAACACTCATCAGCTTTAGTCAATGGATTGTGAAGAATCAACACAATGGCTCATTACTGTAAGCTAATGCAACGAGACTCAAGTGAGACACACAGAACAATGAGACAGACAAGTGGAAACAGCACATGTGTCAAATACAAGTCACATGCTTTACAGTGCAATTAAAGGCAATTAAAGTGCATCTATAATGCGTTTTAGGATATTTAGTTTCATGCAGTGTGTAATCTAGGTGTTTGTGAATTTAAAAGGTCTGCAAAGTTTCAAAGTGTCAAAACACACTGGGTCAACTGACCAATAAGAGCAGAGTAGACCAATCACAACAGACTGGGCCATCTGACCAATCAGAGCAGAGTAGACCAATCACAACAGACTGGGTCATCTGACCAGTCAGAGTAGAGTAGACCAATCACAACAGACTGGGTCATCTGACCAATCAGAGCAGAGTTGACCAATCACAACAGACTGGGTCATCTGACCAATCAGAGTAGAGTAGACCAATCACAACAGACTGGGTCAACTGACCAATCAGAGCAGAGTAAGCCAATCACAACAGACTTGGTCATCTGACCAATCAGAGTAGAGCAATTATAATGGACTGGGTCATCTGACCAATCAAAGCAAAGCAATTATAACAGACTGGGTCATCTGACGAATCAGAGAAGAGCAATTATAACAGACTGGGTCATCTGACCAATCAGAGTAGAGCAATTATAACAGACTGGGTCATCTGACCAATCAGAGTAGAGCAATCATAACAGACTGGGTCATCTGACCAATCAGAGAAGAGCAATCATAACAGACTGGGTCATCTGACCAATCAGAGTAGAGCAATTATAACAGACTGGGTCATCTGACCAATTAGAGCAGAGTAGACCAATCAGACTGGGCCATCTGACCAATCAGAGCAGAGCAATTATAACAGACTGGGTCATCTGACCAATCAGAGCAGAGTAGACCAATCACAACAGACTGGGTAATCTGACCAATCAGAGCAGAGTAGACCAATCACAACAGACTGGATCATCTGACCAATCAGAGCAGTGGACTGGATCATCTGACCCACAACAGACTGGGTCATCTGACCAATCAGAGCAGAGTAGACCAATCACAACAGACTGGGCCATCTGACCAATCAGAGCAGAGTAAAGCAGTCACATTCTTAAGAAAACACCACTTGTGAGTGATGTAAATGTGCAGGTACATTATCAGAACTAAATTTGAGTTTAGCAGTCTACAGTGATGCCATTAGGGGATGTAGCTCATCTCAGACAGGCTTCAGTATAAGAAAGCCTCATCAATATTCATGATGAGAAGCCGTCGCCCATTTCATAACAGCGGGAAAGAAGAGCTGCAGAACATGTGGAAGTTTGATGGCAATCTTCAGTATCTTTGACGGGCCGGAGGATGCGGTGCGGCTCGCAGAAGCTCGCTCAGGAACACACTTCAAACCGGCTGACAGCGGCGGATCCTGACTTCACCGTACGCCTGCTGAACCGCCCCTAATTATGTGTGCGACACACACACACACACTCACTCAAGGAGAAATGGAGCCGAGAGAGAGAGAGACGGGGCACCGGCTTACATTTCAATTCAGGTCCGCTTATCATGATGGCCTTTCACATAAAAGCTGATGCTAATGTCAGGCATAGTTCAAATAAGTATGTTTGCAGAAGCCAAAACCTTTTTCGTTACTTGCATTAAAATAAATGTAAATGTAACGGTATATCAAATGTGAGTAAAATCCCACAGATCACATACTAGAATCCACTCTGAACATTTTGCATAGCAACACCCTGGAAACACCCACATGTAAAATGTAAACGTCTAATTTCTTTAATAACTCGGCTGTTTTTACCATTAAATAACGGAAGAGCAACCTGCACCAGACGGATCTCTAGTCTTCTAGACACCAGCACTAATCTGTTTTAAGCCCCTTTGGACAGACTGGATTACTAATTGGGTGGATTTATAGCTGGTTTAGAGACGAGGGAACCACTAAAAGGTCGTTCAGTGTCTGGACACACAGTTCAGTATAAAGATGAGTTCAGATGAGTGTCAGACGAGATCTACCCACTAATGATGGAGCTGTGTAAGACGTGATGACAACATCTCACACTCGTATGAAGACCGACCTGAGAGAGACACTCGGAACGGTAAGAACTGATCTGTGTTTAACACAATCTGCACAGCTTGAGTTCAGCACATTATTCAGACCTGTGAAGATGTGACACGAAACTGCTGTGAATAATAAAAAAACATGCAAAATAGTGCTGTCAAATCGATTCTTCTATCGCATCTAACATTTAAAAATTTGTAAATAATAAGTGTGTGTGTGTATATTAGGGCTGTCAGTGTCAAATGATTAATCCAAAATAAACGTTTTTGTTTACATAATATATGTGGGTGCAGTGTGTATAATCATTTTAGGCTATATGTATATATATAAATATAAATACACACACATGCTTGTATATATTTAAGAAATATTTTCATGTTTATATATAGATATATATATTATTAAATATAAATATTTTATATAGGCTATAAATAATATTTTTTTCTTAAATATTCATGGGTGTGTGTATATATATATATATATATTTTTTTTTTTTAAATAATGTCATGACTGTGTTTTTGTATTTGTATCATGCATTCTGTAATCAATTATTTTGTTTTTAAATGTGATATATAAATAAAGTTGATTTATTTACCCCACAAAATAAAGCCAGATTAAAATATTACCATCGTGAAGATATTTGAAAGTGACAAAACATATTTTCCTTTCAATGTTATTTTTTTAAAATATTAAGTTTTACCACAATGAAATCCTGCTTTAAGTTTGTTTTATTTTACCATTTTTATTATTTTTATATTTGTTTAAAATATCATTTATATGAATAAATATTTTTATTTGATTATTTATTTAATTATTATCCATAGTTATTTTGACGATTTTAAATGAAAATTCTCAAAACGTTCCTCATTTATGAGGAACAAAGCAACAAGAGATGTTTACAAATATACGTAGCTATATAGTGATATTGTAATAATATTATAATTTTTCCCAATATTTTTTTATTATAATGTTCAAAAACATATCTTCGGGCCAAAACAATATTTTTTTATATTTATTTGTTGTTAACCTAACATTTATTTTGATCAATGTAGTATGAATAAGAAACACAATTATACTTAAACTCAACGTTCTTAAATTTTTATTTCACAGTTTGATGTTTGTATTGTATTTTCTAATTATAATAAAAACGTTTTCATAAGGTACTACAACAAATAGCCTACAACTTTAAAATTCGCGTGGATTCAATGAACACAAAACAAAAACAAAGAATGTAATTCGAATACTAAATAAACGAATCGCGTCACGCGTCATGTGATTGGTCCGCGCGCAAACCCCGCCCCCTCCGAGGCTCTCTCGCTTCTCCCGCCTGCGCCCTGGACACCGTTGCTAAGGAATCCCGAGTTTCCGAGCTCGAGCGCTTCTCAGTGCTCAGACATGGCGGCGGACCTGAACCCGGACTGGCTGTCGTGCCTGCCTTCCTCTTGGAGTTACGGCGTGACCCGGGACGGACGCGTGTTCTTTATCAAGTAAATATCCGCGGGGTGGAAAGTTGGGGCTCGTTTCGTCTCGAATTCCTTTCGTCGGTTGTTTAATTTTCACCTTCTCTTCCCCTTTTTCCTCACCCAACAGTGAAGAAGCGAAGAGCACAACCTGGTTGCATCCAGTCACGGGAGAAGCCGTCATTACAGGACACAGAAAAACTCCAGGTAAGAGGCTTTTAACAGCGTTTATCATTGGGGAAAATCAGCGCGTGAGAACAGCGCGGAGAAATGCAGTCAATGCAGCTGCAGAACCGCAGCTCAACGCGAACAATGTCAGCGCGTTTGCGTCGCGTCGCGTCGCATGCATGCAGTACACCTGAACGCGAAGTGTTTTGGTTATTTACATATCTGAAGGGTTGTTTGGTCATTTCCCCCCCGCGCGGTCCGTTTGATTGACAGCTGTCATTTCTATAGCACTCATTAGATCATCTAACAAGCATGCATGTTGCTCATAACACTCTTATTTTGAAACTTCCATAAGCCTGAAATCCCTAATATTTGATGTATTTAAGCATTAACAGTTTATTTGTCACAATGCAAGGTGAATGATCCACAGTTACAGGTTGAGCTGCAGTACACAGATTCATTAGGAGCACAGCAATGCTTGTGGGCATTGAAAAGCACTGCAGATCATTGAGAGATGTGCTGCCCGCTGCAGCCACTCACTCTTGAAAGATGCTTTTTGCATGCAAAACTCATTGTCCCCGTGTCTCTCCTTTTCAGATTTACCCACTGGATGGGAGGAAGGATATACGTTTGAAGGAGCCCGTTGCTTTATCAAGTGAGTTGGAGGTTCAGCTCCTGGCGGAAGGAGGATATTTTGCTCTCTCTTGCTTGTTTGACAGCAGCCGTGATTTCAGATTGCCGCCCCCTCTCTCTCTCACACACACACTCATACCATAGCGTTTCCATAAATGCTTTTGCTCGCACACCGAAGCTCTTTCCCACCCTGTTTAAAAAAAAAAAAAAGTAATTACCGTGAGGGTGGCGGAGGGCTTGACAGGCCCGTGTGATTCAATGCTCTGTTGGTTGAACAGGCTCAACTTGTTGGTTTTCCACCCAGTGAATCATATTAACCCTTGTTTGTACAAACCAATGTTTGGGACAAAACTGTTGCGGTTTTCATTGAGCCGGTCGTGGTGTGTTTGATTGGATGGCTGGAAGACGAGCTGATCGATATGTTATTTTTAGACCGTAATGCATGTGGCTTTTTCAAGACTATTTCAATCAGTGAATGTGTTAAAAATCAGCCTGGTTGTTTATTGGGATCATATTTGGCTATTTTGAGATTATGCACATCAATGATTTGCATTATTAGCGTGTGCCGTTTTTTAAGGAAAATAGCATGTGTTTATTTCACACTTGACGCTTGACATTTTAACATGCAAATATGCATCGATTAATGTGCATTGGTTCTTGGAAGTTATATATTGGTTGACTGATATACATTTTCTTCATCTAGGTGCTTTAATATGACCGAACAGTATTATCAGTAGCATATCATGATTTATAGCATTTTTGTTATTATGGTCTGTTGAACTGCTTCCTACTTCATGTAAAATTTGTATGCATGGTGCGTGCTTTGTAGTTTTGTTCCCAACCCAGTCCAGGGCCGAGTTTTTTAAGACAAGGATTTGAGCTAAAACTCACGAGATGCATCTCCTCACGTCAGGATTGACAACCTAACCCTTTCTGGACCTTTCCTACTTCATCACTGTCTGCTTTTTCTTCGGCCAGCACGCCTGGGACACGCCATACCCTCCGATGATCTATCTAGATCTCAACATCGGACAAGTCGTCTTTTGCTTGAAATTGAATGCACCTTTTTGTCATCCTCTCTGTGGATTACCGTGACTCCCTGGACCGCTTTACTGCTGCGCTGACGATACCCGGAGGCCCAAAACTGTTGCTCACGCACTTGAAACGAGACTGTGGATCTTCACACTGATCTAAGACCTGCAATGGGAGAAACTCTGACCAGTGGCGTTGTGAGGAACTCGCTCATGTTACTGCAGCGGCAAATGGCGGATGGCCAGAGATTAAGAGTGATATGGGGTCATTCATTATACTGGCACAAAGGAGCTAAAGGACTGGAGAAGGAGCGACGCTCAGAAGCAGCAAGTGGCGTGTGGTGTTTCATCCATTGGCTCAAGTCTGTCAGGATTCCTTAAAAAGCACTGCAGTGTGCGAGGATGCTTTTTCTGTGTCACCCAGGAATAGCACGGCTGGTCAGAGGACGCTGGGATGCGGGCTTTGCTGTGGTCGCCGTGCAGAGAATTCGTAACTCTTTTTAATCCCAAAAGAGAAGCTCACGTTCACGGTTTTCATACATTCTTTGAGGAAAACTAACCATTGCATTTCCAACACTCTAAAAATGTTGGGTTGTTTTAACCCAATTTTGGGTCAAATATGGACAAACCCAGCCATTTGGTTTCATTTTTAAATAACCCAATGTTTGAGTTTGTCCATTTTGACCCAAAATTGGGTTAAAACAACCCAGCATTTTTTTAGAGTGAAGGTGCATTAAAATATCTTTAAAACCACTGGCTCTGTAGAAATATGTAATTCATTTTGTATGCATAAAATATACTTGTGCACATCTAATTATGTTATTATAAACTGCCTGGCCAACAAAAACTCACTGTATATATACACTTAAGAGTCTATTCATGGTTTATTGTTGCTGTGTTTATTATGTTGGTAACACTTTACAATAAGGTTCATTAGTTAACATTAGTAAATGCAATGAGCAATGCATTAGTTACAGTGTTTATTAATATTTGTTAATGTTAGTTAATACAAATACAGCTGTTCATTGTGCGTTCATGTTAGTTCACAGGCCATTAACTAATGTTAACTAATACAACCTTTGATTTTAAAGGTTCTCAAAGCGATCCTGGGTGTTGACGTTCGAATATTTTCAAACAAATCGGAGCTAGACCCTCCCTCCTCCGCATCTCATCTCCTCCCCCTCCCTTCCGTGCTTCCTGAAATAATTGTGAACGTGCATAGTTCTAGCTAATTATATCCTTGTGTGGGTTTGGCGAACATAAGCGTTAATTTAGAAGAAAAAAACAATTTAACGTTACCCACCTGTCAAGCAAAAACAGAGCAACCTGAATGTCGGAAACCGAAACTGGAAGCCCTTCTGCCGCCGGAGTTCTCGCCATCGTTCAAAAGCTTTGCTACCGATGTAAATTCGGCACTTTGCACGTTCTTTATCCGACTCCTTCTTCTTTTTAATTTGTTCCTCAGAACGATGTCTCTTTGGTCGTGTGTCGGTAATTTTTCAAACTTCCCTCTGATGCTTCGCTGCTCTCCTTCACACACACACACCCTTCATGTGCACGCGCACTAACCCCCCAGACCCACCCTCAAATACTTCTTGCCAGTGATTGGCTGGAACACTGTTTGTTAGGTTTCATGGTCCGGGTAAGACATGATTGTTTTTGTTGCCGTTTGTGGAGCCTGTGGTGTCTACAGAGACCGCGTTTTTTTACAGTGTGTTTAGGGGACAGGCAGCTAGCCGATAGTGAGGAGATGTTTGATGTATGTGACAAAAAATGTTTTGGTCCAGCATCGCTTATAGAACCTTTAATAACGTATTATTAGTAAATGTTGGAATTAATATTAACTAAGATTGATAAATGCTGAAGAAGTATTGTACATGTTAACTAATGTTAACTAATGAACCTTATTGTAAAGTGTTACATTCTAAAAATGCTGGGTTGTTTTAACCCAACTTTGGGTCAAATATGGACAAACCCAAAAGTTGGGTTAAAAATGTAATGAAAAAATGTAACCCAATGGCTGGGTTTGTCCGTATTTGACCCAAAGTTGGGTTAAAACAACCCAGCATTTTTAGAGTGTACCATTATGTTTTTTAGTAGTTATATGTTTGGCAACAGTTCTTCTAACCCTAATTGATGGAGTGTGCTTTTAATTTATGAAACAGACATGTAGGAAGACACATCATGGCCATATTCCCGGTTGATAAAGCCAGGCTCAAATTTGAAAGATTGTTCGGGAGGGAGTTTGAAGAATCACGAATTGGCACCTTATGCAATATCTTGACCAAAAAATTGATGCACCTTTTAATGGAAATAAATGTTGTGATGTTATATCCATCAAGAGGTGCATTAGATCTTGTATTGATAATGCAAGAGTCCAGCACATCCCAAAGACTTTCAATGAATTTGTGAAAATTTCATATGTGAAAATGATATGAATATGGCCATGATGTGTCTTCCTACATTGTTTTAGAAATGAAAAGCCACACAAATAGGGTTAGAAACATCATAATCACTGGAATAACGATCCAATCATATTTAAATACAAACGGCGACCTTTTTTGGTGTTTATTTCAGTGTATATAACTGGTGGAAATCTGCAACTGGATTTTTTTGACTACAGAAGCTTATATAATCCTGAAGAGTTTTTACATTTTCACTAAAAATGAATGTTTCTATGGACACAATAAATGGGATATTTACTTCTGGAGCTCTACTAATGAACCCTTTGTCTGTCTGCAATGGTCTTGGAGAAGGAAGATGAGGAACAGAGGTGTTGAAGGAGATCTACACCTGAAGCGGTGTGTGAAGCAGAGGCTGTTGAAAGGCTGTTCTTGTTGTGTCGTTGGCTAAAGACCGATCTCTTTTGACTTTTGCTTGGCAGCTGTTGCAGTGTCTTGGGAATGCTGCAAAATAAACAGCTCATGTTGGTCATTAGTATCCGCCTACTGCCTAACAGGCCACAGATTGGGCAACAGCACAAGAGGAGGAGGATGAGCCCTACCCATGTCTTGCAAATTAAAGGGGGAATGCATTGAAATAACATGAGCATTAGAGGTTAGTCGGAACGGTAGTGCTGAATCTGACTGAATGGGATAACCTTTTGAGATGTTATTTAAGTGTACTTGTTGTTTTAGAGGTGCAATCTGACTTTTTTTCTGGGGCATTTCTGACTGAAGTGAGAAATAAATGGAGCGATGTGGGGAGATGTAAAGAGGGGAAGTTGCAAAGGTCACTTATTCAACTGTGGCGTGCTCTTTACGAAGATTCAGTTGTGCGTGTGTGTTGTGTAGATGTTCGATGGGTCATAGCAACACTGACTTGACGGGTGGCATGAGTTCTCATTGGGAATGTCCACTTGTTTGATCTGGGGTAGACGAAAGTGATTTTAATCATTCAGTTTAGTGTTCCTAGGGATAAACATTAGTTGGAGACGTTTAACCTTTTCAAATCTTAGAATTTTAGAATCTTAGAAATCAAAGTTTAGAATTTTCAACCTCATTTTTAGAACTTCCAGATTTAAATTCCGTGGTGATGTAACAGTCACAATAGAGTGCAACAGTTGGATTCCAGAAGTAAAAACGAACTCATAAACCTTCAAACTTAGACACACTGTGAGTTACAAAGTTGTTGATCGATAGTATTTGCTTCTGTTGAAGCCGTCAACCCGCATTATTACAACAAATAATTTAACAGCAGAATTCATGGTGAAGAACTACATTACCCATGATACTGCACAGACAATTCCACCCATCAGAAAGTCGAAACAATCTTGTTGGTTCCGCCCACTCCCACGAAGCAATGCATACGACGTAATCGAGTTTGACGCTCTCAAAATACTTAAATATTTGAATATAAGCAACTAAATATATTAGGGTTGTGCAAAAATTAATTGCGATTAATCGCATCCAAAATAAAAGTCTGTGTTTACATAATATATTTGTGTGATGTATATAATTATTTTTTGTGTATATAAATACACACACATGCA